AAACTGATCAGATATAACATTTAGATAGATTACTTGAAATGATTCATTTACTTCACAAACAAATACTACAAGTTTTATCAACTTGTAGTATTTGTTTGTGAATGTGCTCACACCATGCGTCTGAAATGTGTGTACTTTTATCAGTGAATGTGTGTACTTTTATCAGTGACTTTACTTGTGAATGTGCTCACACCATGTGTCTGAAATGTGTGTACTTTTATCAGATACTAAAGACGAGTATTTAAAATCTCAAATTAGATGGCACAGATTTGCAACAGTTTCATTTTAAATGGTGGTAATTCAAAGGCATATTGTGTGCCAAGGTAAACTAATATTTGAAAATAATTTACTTGTACCAGGTGCATTTTCTGTAACAGCTTTCTTTTACAAACTCACCATCTGAAAATGGTTTCATTTTTTTAGCAATTAGAAAGGAAATGGAATAACTACTTGCCTTCACACTATTAAATGGTTTTTGTAATGCTGAGCTGAACATTCTTTGATAAGCTTTTTAACTGAAATATAAATTCTGTCAACTTCGATTCTTTCTCCAGTATCATATAATCACCATGTTTTGCTTCAGAATGCCTTTCTTCATTGTGTACTTTAAATACAGTGAGAGTTTCTCAACTAATTAAACACATTAGTTTGGAGTTTTCAATAATAAAGCAGAACTCTTCTCCCCTTTGTTCACCATATTGTCTGCTTTACTCAGCAATTTTTCTTTTCTTTGCATTCATACTGAAAATTTTCTGTACTGAAGAACCAAGCACTCTGTCTGTACTCATGTACATGAGGGTTTAATATGTTGTTACTGCTTATTTGATGAATTGGTAGTTGTGATGTTGCAGCTCCAATTGCTGACAGCAACCATCACTGTCTATGTTCTGTTTACTCAGAAAGCCAAAACAGATTTCTTAATTTTTGCTTTGTAAACAGGAGATATCAAATTATAGATTTCATGAGTTCTGCCACGAGTTGCCTATCTCTGATCTGATTGTTAATGCATAAAATTTTTTTGAATTTTAGAGCTTTTCTCAGTCACAAGGCTTAATTTATTAGTTTCTATTGCAATTGCAGTTTGCATTTGTTTGTAACAAATTTGCTATATTCTGCAATTTGAATTTCTGTTATTTGGGGTTGCTGTAAGTGGATATATGACTTCAAATGTGGTATTGTAACAAATGATTGAAACTAGACCACAGCAAAGTGCATCATTTCTATCATCAAGAGGAGGGCCTTCATAATGGCTTTCTGAGGCCTTTTGCCTTGTATTATAATTATATTATACATTAAAAAAAACACACAATCTGCAATTGTCGTGATTGCAAAACCAAGCTTAAAACACCATTCTTCAGTGGTCTTATCACTCAGCTCCTGGGTGAGCATTGAGGAGGAATGATAATAAAACTTTTCCTCCCATCTGGAAGCTCTTTGAACACTTTGCAGTTTTTATTTAGTGTGTTTTTGTTTTTAATAAACTTTTAATTCTACATTTTTATAACATTTAGGTGAGGTTGCATTACGCATGTTCTATCATCACTGATTTTTCTTCATTTCAAAATTGGTGATTAATTTTCCACTCTTTGAACATTTTGCTGTTTTTATTTAATGTTTTTCTGTGTTTTTGTTTTGAATAAACTTTTAATTCTACAGCATTTTTATAACCCTTATAAAAATAATATAACATTTTTATAACATTTAGGTGAGGTTGCATCACGCATGTTTTATCATCACTGATTTTTCTTCATTTCAAAATTGATATAGTGATTAATTTTCCTTATGACTATGACAGTCTTTACTGTAGCTTTTCTCTGCTTCAGATTTCATAAATTATCATCGCTGAGTGCATTATGCTGTGCAAGTGCATGGATATATTTGATTGATTATATGTCTCTATTCAGTTCATGATACTCTGTATGTCTTTTGTGTCTATAGAAACACTAGTATTTGGCTGTGTAACTAAATTCCATTTCATGTTTTATAATGATTTATGATTTTAATAAATTAATATTAATAAGCGAATTCATGCAGTTCCTTCAAACGGGCCATTTTGCAGAATACAATCAAACTATTCTGTTGTTGGGTTACTTTTATGATTGGGCTTGTGGTACAGTCTGTGAAGAATAAAGGCTTAAAAAAAATCTGAAGTGGACAGGTATCAAAAATTTATTAAAAAGGTATTTCTAGTATTCTGTGTAGACTAAAATTATTTTTGGCATACATTGATTTATCAGTCTATCTGACATTCCAGTAAAATGTAATAGTGGAGATTTTACATTTTATTTCTTAATAAATATCTTGAAAACAGTACATCAAGAAAGTATGGATTAACCCTCTTTGTAAAACTTATGAATTTATTTGGTGTCATTGCATCTTCTTACCTTTATATGTTCTCAAAGGTTTTTTTTTTTTTTTTTTTTTTTTTTTTTTTAAGAAAAATTGTTGTATTTTTTAACTGATCCAAATATTATTACATGATAATTAGCAGTGCTTTATTAATGATTAATTCATTTTGCTGTTATGTTTTGCTGTTGTGTTGTGTAATTTATGAATGAATGCAGGATTGTTGCAAAAGAAGTTAACAGATTGTATTAAAAAAGTAATGCACTGAAAGGTATTTTGATGAAATGAAGAAGTATGTGAGTAAAGCTATTTTCTCACAGCATTTTATATATTCACATTGGTAGTCACTATGTATCATGCAATTCAGTGAACAATATAGCCGCATATGAAGTGGAAAATGCTTGCTCTTCTTTGTGAGGCTCGTTTAGGTATACAGAAATTTCAGTTTCATTCAATAAATTATGCACATTCTCTGTTTTCCAAACTGTAAGTTAAGTAATCTCAAGTTCTTGTTAAGTTCAGAACTCACATTCTTTGTTCATTTCCTTGGTTTTTGTTGGAAGATGCCACGAAACTTGAAGAGAGAGACTTTCTTGAAATAAACAGAGCAAAATTCAGAGAGTGCATCTTTCAAAGATGATCTCAAATTCATTATAAGAATAGGTTATGTAAAATTTTACAGGCAAGAAAAATTTTTAAATGTCATAAAAGACTCAAGTACCTTTATACCTTATCCAACAAGCACCTGCTTTTAGTTGTTCACTTTCTTATTACCATGCTTTATTTCAAATAAAAATTGCTTTTGAAGCCTTTTCATTCTTCAGGTTTTCACAAGAAATGGTCCTCACCTCTTAATAGAAATACTGCTGTAAAGCCAAACAACTGAACAAAGTTGAAAATCCTGAATTTTTTTAATTTATTAATATTGGCCAATTAATGTAGAAATGGACCTGTCTCTGTCTGGACAGATTTGTTGGCCTTTTCTAGCTCTTTATATTAATGCTTTAAATAATATAAAATATATATTCAATTCATTTTCAAATACTGTTATACAGTTTAGTGAAAGTTTACATACAATACTGTAACATGTTATGTCATTCCTGTTTAATAATGTAAATATAACAAAGTAGTGTTTTCAAGAAACATATATGTTGCATTTTTGTGTTTTCATAAATATATTTTATTTAATTGATATTATATTGGCCTCTGTACTTATTGTTGAAGCATTACTTAAAAGCATCCAAAAAAAAAGTCCTCTTTTACTTCTGTATGTCTGTAGGTTCTTGGCAGGCAAGTTTGACATGGTTAATGTCTACAGTTAAGCTGCACAGATAGCATGTTTCCTTTATATTTTACATGTTCAGATATATGGGAAAACCCAATGTCCACTTAAGTCATAGATTAAGAAGAAGTTGCTCATTAATCATGTGACTTTTAGAAAAACTGATAAATTGTACAACCTATTTCTAAATTCTGCTATCTTTTTTGCCACTCATGAATCACTTTAGTCTGTAATGAAGACGTCACAAAACTCTGTGGGAGATTAGTCTCTAATAATGTATCATCCTGGATTACTTGCTTTGCAAATTCATATACTGTTTAATTCCCAAGAAATCCAGTGTGTCCTTTTAGCCAGTAATAATCCAACTTAGAGTTTAATTTCTATTACTTGAGAATTCTCAGCTGAAAATTACTCGAATCATTTTAAAAATGGCATTACAATTATGCAAAGTATCAGAGAGATTTCTATACCTTTCTTAGATTGCTAATCTAGTAACAAAGAATCGATTTGATAGCTTTTTTTAAGCTTTCAATTCATTATCTGTGTTCATGGATATTTTTTTCTATTATGCACAAAACATTTAAAATGTTATACTTGAGAAAATAATCATGTGGTTTAGAGGATTTGAAAATAATCGTGTGGCTTAGATGCAAATGGAAAGCTACTGTTAAAGCATTTCACTAAGGATTTATTTTAACACTACTCATACTGCTAAAGGTCAGTATTTACATTCAGTGCCATTTGAGAAGTGGAAGATAATTAGCGCATTGAATTCTATTAACTGGAAATATCATTAATTGTGTCAAAGAAAACAAGACATCAGTAACATTTTCAAAAAGCTATGAAAGGTAATTCATCAAATGAAAATCAGACAGAACTACTTTTTAAATTAAGTAATAATGATGTAGAAGTAACTAAAGTATTTCTGCCCTCCTTTTTTTTTTTTTTTTTTTTTGAATAAATTTTAATTTTAGCTGCTCTTTAGAAGTCACTGACATTATTACACCTCTTTTTAATGAGTATGAAATATGGTTTATGAAGACTTGATTTTATTATTCCTGGTAGGATGAAGGAATTATTTTTTCAAGCTCGTGATTTAAATTTAATTCTTGAACAGAGTGGTATTTCAGTTTGCTTTTGAATGTTATAAAATGATAATTTTATAATTATCTGTGTTATCAAATTATGTGTAAATTTGTTGGTATACTTTGCAAGATTGCTGTATGATGATAATTTTTATTTGACAAAAAGAAAAAGTAAATAAATAAATTCATATTTTTATTTACTTGTAAGTATGTATTATTATGGTAAGCATATTTTGTTATGTTATGAATCAATCCTTTGTTGAATGTTTAAATTTTATTTTGTTTAGAGGATTTGATTTTATATGGAATCACCTTAAAATGGAAGATGTCCTTTGTTACTGGAAGAATTTGCTGTTGAAGTATGCAAAGTTACTGAAATATAAACCAGAAAAGAATCATAGCTTTAAATTAATCAAACCAAAGAAAGATTGATGTAAAATACTTTTTAAAGTCATTAAAATATTTTTAAGTATGCTTTTGAAGTACAATTTTTAAGATTATGAAAATATTTCATTATTCTAGAGTAAAACTACATACTTCAATTGTACCATTTCATATAGTAATACTGTCTTATTTAACTAAGCTTTTAACTTAACTAGCACTTTTGTTTTGTTTAATTTATATTCAGTAATAAAATCTAAATTCGCTTTCTTTGATAATGCTTTTCATAAATTTATGTACAATTTATATTTTTGTAAGTGTCTTGCCCTGTCTTATAAAATGATATCACTCTTTAGTGAAATCTTATTTAGCTTTTAATTATTTCATATAAATTCATTGATAAAAACAGTTTCAATCGTTTATTCCATTCCAAGACAAAGCAAACTAATCACAATTTTTGGCCCTTGTTTATCCTTATGCACAATTTAAAATGTGGAGTTTTAAAATTTTTATCTGCTCATCGACTTTCACATAAGCAATTTCTAGTACCCATGTTGAAAAAAGTATAATGTTTGTGAAAAAATATAATTTGTGCTCTAGTTGACTTAGTGACAGTCATCATATTATTAGTTCTTTTCATAAATATAACTGCAATGTTCTTTAAAACATAATATATTGCTTTATAAGAATGATGAATCAGCTTTGATTGCATGTGCAACATCTGCTTCTGTGCCGCCCAGATGGTATAGTGGTTAGGGTAGCCTGACTGCGATACCGAAGGGCCCGGTTTCGAATCCCGGAGGAGGCATGCATGAAAAATTGTCTGTCCCTTCATAGGAGGTAACAATGGCCTCCTATTATGTGCCTCTACAATGAAATAGCCACCACTTTTGGCCTTAAGAGTGGCCAATGCGTTATGGGCAAGTGCCCGCCATTGGAGGGGGAGAAAGATCTGCTTCTGTGAGATCTCTCCTTAATTTTTGTTTGTTCTTACTCACTTTTGCTCTTATTCTTACTCACCTTTGCTCTTGGATTTCTTTGGTTATTCCATGTGTGTGCATACTCATTTACTAATTTCCTAAAAATACCATCATTACATGTGGGTGAATAGCCATGTAGCATTTCAAATGGTGTCTTCTTAGTAGTTTTGTTTATCTTGTTATTCAATTTTTTTCTCTTTTAAAGCCCAATCTTTGTGCTGCGTATCTATCAGGCTCGTCATTATCATTCCTAAAATTATTCTATTGACAAGCTCTGCTATTTTGGATGTTTAATAGAACTCAAAATAGGAAAATCTTGTTTGCTTTAAATTGCTGCTCAAATCAAAAAGAAGCAAACAGCATCTTCCATAGCTTATTATTTTTTGTCCTTAGAAGATAATCTTTCAGAGACTTTGAAACATATTTCTTCCTCACATTTTAAATTGCAAAAACTACCACAAATATTTTATAAGTTATCACTAATAGTTCCTAACAATGGAACTTTTCCCAGAAAGACCAAATGATCCATATGAATAATAGCAAAAGGTCTTTTACTAGTTTTCATAGGATGTAATAAGCATTGTCATTTGCCAGCTGTTGCATTATTCATAATGAATTTAGAACATGCTGGCATCTATCTTCTTTCATACGTTTTCATGCCTCGAAACCAATACAGTTCCTTAATATTACTTAACTGTCATATCGACAGAAGTGCTCTCTAATTAATCATTAAATTTCACTATTGTACATTTCCTTTTGCTTTTGCACATACATCAGTTTCTGTTTTCCATTGACCTTTTTCTTTTTTTTTCCCCCCCAAAAACGATGTATCTTTTAAATACATAGTTTCTATTTCTAATTACTTTTTTCTCCTCTTCAGTTAGTTCTCTTGTTTCTCCTTGAAAATTACAATATTTTTCTCCGTTGTTAATCAGTATGATATATCAAATATTTGTTTATCTACAGTTAGAGTTTGGTAAACTTAAAAAATTTCAGTTTGTCATCCTGTTATGAGCTTCCAATACTGGGGCTGTAGTCAAAGTGTCCCTATGAGACAGTTACTCACTTGGCTTATGTTTTATATCAAAATCCTATTCTGGGATTAAGCTGCTTCAGTGGGATGTTTGGGAAGATGTAGAGTTTCCCACAAGCAGTCAGTGATAACTGTAAATTTTATTCCTATTAAAAATTGGCTCAATCTATCCGAAGTCTATGTCTCTCATTATCTCCAATTTACTAGAGTGACACTTTACTTCTGAAGTTTCCTTACTGACGATAAACAAGATGGCATTTTCTATCTTCACCATGTTGGATTTATAGTCCACTCCAGCATTAGGGACTTGCATCGCGAAGAACCTCAATATCTGCATTCAGATGATTAGTGAGCTAATACTGTCTCATCTATCAGTTGTTCCCTTATTAATTCGGAGGATTTATTTTGTTATTTTCTCCCTAAGTCTTTATTCTTCTGTTATAATTGGGCCCACCAGCAGCCGAGCGGTAAAGTCTCTGAACACTGGTAGTTCGGTCCGAGATTTGAATCGCGCAAACGGCCTGGCTGCATGGGTGTTTTCATGGTTTTTCCCATGTGTAACGTGTATACGAGCCAGTTTCCCTTAGAAAGTCCTCCATGAAGGCATCCCTCCCCTTAGGCAGATAGCCCTCAAGGCTTTGCCATAATCACACACACTTCTGTTATAATCTGGTTGGTGGTTCACCCATTTCTGCATATTTTGAGACAAAACATCTGAAAAGTCAGTGAGACCTAAGAATCTTCATACTCAGTGTACATTTCTGTGTTATGGAAACTCTTTGGTAGATTTTTTTTTTTTCCCTAGAGGATTTGAATCCTTTTCCATTTCACGATGAAGCTCAAATATGTAATTTCAGAGTTAAATTTTCCATTTGAGGCAACATCTTTTAGTTTCTTGATCATCTCTTTTCAGAATTTGACAAGAATAAATATGTCATCTTAATAAAATTATGCCTTAATGTTCAGTAAGGGGCTATACCTTAGTCGCTACAACTCAAGAGGCGTTTTTGCTAAACCATAGGTATTTTTTTTAATTGTCCTGTTTCATCTGGTTTAATGAACAGTTTTCAGTGTAACTTTTCACATAGCAATATCCGCTAGCTCCCATGGACTAAATTCAAGGTAGAAAACATTTTATGTCCTCCTAAACATTCTAAAAGGTCATCCCTCCAGGCCAAGGAAAATTTATCTTTTTTAGATTGATTATTAAATCTGCAGTAATCAACCACCATATAATGATCTCCCATTTTCTTTTTTACTAAGACTAGACTTGAAATAAGATGATGTAATTTCTATTAATTATGTAAAGTTTTTATGTTATTTAACCATGTTTCGTTATTCTTTTGCCTTTACTTTTCATCATCTCCCACCAGAATGTTTACTTAATGCATTTAAGCCCAGATTTTCTTAAAATTGGGAAAGAGCTTTTGGCAACTTTTGTTGGCCAATCATTCTGTTAAATCTTCCTGCAAGTTGATCTGAGAGAAAAATACTAAATGCCTGTCAACACTTTCATTTACATTTGGTATGCAATTATTTTTAAAGTTTTAATTATATTGTCAATATCTTTTTTATTTTCTTTTCTTGATTCAAACGTCAGGGTTCATACGGTCCTTAAAAGTCCTTAGGTTTTTTGTAATCGATTTTTGGTCCGTAAAAGTCCTTAATTTCAGCCAAAATCAGCAGAAGGTCCTTAATTTTAATCATTTGAAATTTCTGTCATGTTTTTATGACTGCTGTTTAGAGTGTGAATTATCATTATGCATGAATATTTTTGACAATTCACTGATAAATATGATTATCTTTTGAATGGGTTCATGGGTTATAATTTTTTCCTATTTCTAATGTAAAGGGTGGGATACTGGAGTTTCTGAGCAAGGAGTCAAACATAAGCATTTCAAAGTTTTTTTTTTTTTTTTTTTTCCTAATGAACAGTATTTAAACAACTGTACTTTTGGGGATGTGAATTTTTTTATTAAACGGGTTTAAATTTGACGACTTATCAACATTTTGGCGATTTTAAGATTGATTTCTAGAGAAAATTTTTAATTCGGAGGATTTGGCAATTTTTCGACGATATTTTTTGGAAACATTATAGCAATGATAAATGTAACTAAAATAATGGTAATATATTTAAATTACATTTAAGGAATAACATTAAAGTAAAAAGTTTTTATTTTATTTTACTGTCATTACTTTCCATTTTGGTGGCTTATTATGTAGTATTTTAATTTGAAAAATAAACAACATAATAACTCCTATAAAGCGCAGCTTACGAAACAGTTCATAGCAAAAGCAAAATAGCTATATAATTAATTAAAAAATTCTTCCTTTTAATTTTTTCATGGTAAGAATTATTCCCATGTAATTGTCTCAGAATCATCGGAATATGTATCAGTTTTCTCTATAAAATTAATTTTATACTTTTTTCCCCTAGCCCTTTTTCTCTCGCATAATTGATAGGGCTAATTTTTCAGGATTTTAAACATTGCAACTTGGAAAGTTTAGAAGGATTTGAAGGCAAGATTTACAGATTCACAATTCTAGAAGGCTCCAGAAAAAATTGACAAAATGAAAATGTCTTCATTATATTAACACATAATGGATGTATTTTACGGAAGGTTTTGAGATGAATTTCTTACATTTTGAGGAATTTTTGGAAGGACAATGGAAACATAATGTTTGAATGTTGTACTTCTGATACTAGAAGTCTTTCTTAACATTTTCCCTTTATTTTTCTCAACTTTTCACTAGACACAAGTATGGAAAATACCAAAAATTTTTCTAATCTCTTCGCATGTGCAGGCATTTATAAAAAATAATTTTTCTATTAATAAAGAATTTGAAAACTAACAATTTAAAAGATTCACCTTATATATCTCAATGGATCATACACAGGGCTGGCACAAGGCATTTTCCCACCTGATGCAATCTCTGTGGATCCTAAATTCTGCTCCCACTGCCTGTCCTAAATTCTAAAAGTTTTGCCATTTCTAGATTTTGTTGCTCCATGTATCACTAACTTCTAAAAATTCTGCCTCATCCGCCCTGAAACAAGTCCTTACTGTACATCAACAATTT